TGCTGCCCAGTTGGGCTTCCTTGTATGGCGTGGGACCTAAGCATTGATCTACACATCAGCCACAAGGGTTCAGCCCAGCCTTTGTTACAAGTCTTAGCCGAATTCACTGGAAAGCCCAGTGAACCCCCTGAGCCCATCACATGGACTCTATGGGCCCAACACTTACACTAAGTGGTCCTTGGGCCAAACCACCTTGTAACACCCAGGGACTGTGGGCAGATGTAAGATTAGCCCATCGGGTATTACCCTCAATGGTCTTACACTTAACCTCTCAGCCCATAATGATCATTCGCTGCCCGACAAGAGAGAAGCTCTCCCCCGGCTGCAAGGAACAATGTTGCACTCTCTACTCACATGGATCCCAGGAATTAAAACCTTTGCAAACAATTTGAAACCGTAACATATATATACTTTTATTTCTCATATAAAATATATTTTGCAAAACAAATCTCAACGATTGAAATCGGCTGCCGGCAGTCTTGGTTTCCATCAGAGAGAGTGCATCCCCGATAATTACCTTTGTTCGACAAAGGGGCTGATCTTGTCACTATGATCATCCACTCAGATGAATTCTCGGACTGTCCCAACATACTCTGGTTTTGACCCCCTCTAGGGATCTCACTGATTGACATATCAAAGACAGCCAAATCCGACACCTAGTGCAGTATCATAATCGAGTCTAGGGGTCAGGGGTAATTTTCCACTTTTGCCTACTAATCTCCAAGGTCCAGGGCAATACTGGAAATCCGGTCCGGTTCAAGGTTTCAAGTAATCCTACACTACATGTGCTTTGGGTCTCACCCTAACAGCTGAGACAGGTTACCCCAACACTTGGTAGCACACCACTGTCAGCCTTAACAGGATAAATCTCCCCAGACTTATTCAACGACTGTGAATATTCTAAAGTAACACGAGTCTCATTAATAGTCCAGTTTAAGGGTATTACACAGAAAGACACCACATAAACATGAATCAAATATGTGCTTTATTCATATACAATAAATGTCATAAGTACGTCAAACTGATTGGAGCTAAGTGCACACAACTGTCTAACACAGGGAATGGACATTCTCTCAAATAGGAGAATGCCATTCTAACAGGAATGGGAATGAAATTCCAATTTCACCCAACCAAACAATTAGAATCAAAATAGCTCATTTCGGTTTTGATTCCAAACCCCTATTCCCACAAACCAAAAGGGTGCTCAATTCTGATTTCGATTCCAATTCCGACTATGAACTAAACGGATTCTCAAATTGGACACAAAACTGTGTTGATAATTACAAAAAAAAGTGTTTTGGTGATTGGTTCACGAATTGAACGTTCAGCCGCTCGACTCGTTTCATTTATTTATGAAAACAAAAATAAAAAACATAGTTCTAGAAGATTCTCTTTTAAAGTTATTTTTTATATCAATACAAGTTCGAAACAATAAATGTGTCAGGGCCACTGGTAAAATACCAAACAAAATTATTTTGACCAAGTCAAGCAATCAAGTAACCATCTAGCTGCTGATTCCCATTTCAGTGGTCTGACCTGGTGCAGTCGAGTCTGACAGTACTGAGAGAAATTAAAAATCATTTTAGTCTCTGTGTTAAGGGTTAGTTGGGATTAAAAACTAAAAGTATTTTTTTTGTAACAAAAGTACTTTCTTTCTTTTTTTAGTTTTGTGAGTGTTGGCCAAGGGGTTAACAATGTGATTAAGCGTTGACATCGACTGTAAGTCCATAACTTTTACTCACAGCCCTTAAAGGAGTACTTGACCTCGTACCGTTAATCCGTTATAAAGTCACTGGTAGTACTGTAACGGCGTTTTCCCAAAACCATGAACGAAATGATGCCACGTGTACAACCAGGGTCATCCCATTTCCTACACGGCCTCACCGTCCAGCAAACTCGTCTTCTCTTTTTCAATTATTTTAATCTTTGGTCGTTTCAGCTTTCAGGTGTCTCCTTCCGTGTTCCGTCCTTCGTCCTTGATCCTTCCCTTTAAGAGGGTCCAGTCTCTGGTCTCTTTCTCCACTGTTCTTGGGAGAGAAGGAGAGGTGCCTTTTCGTAAATTCTCAGAAATTACAGCCCGAAAAGTCGGATTTTCTGGTGAATACAGAGAAAAGTAGAAAACAACAACAGAGAAGCGCAGGTGCGCAGCTCCGTCTCTCTCTCTCTGCGTTGAGCCAGGAACAAAGGCCACTGACGCCTCCTGGCTCGATTTTCGAGACAACAACAAAAGATCTTCTTGAACAACTTTTTTTTTTCTTCCCCGGTCGTCGCAATTTATATATTCAACTCCACCTGAAAGCTAAAATTTCACCTTCGTCTCGATTTCACCTGCCAAATCCCTCTTCTGCCTTCATAATTCCGGGCATCTTTGGGTATGTTAGCCTGTACCATTCTCTCTCTGTATCTCAAATCATCTCCGGCACAGTTCTATTTGGTTCATATGGCTCAATCTGAATTCCCTGTAAATACTTTTTTGTTGTGTTGGGTTTCTAATTGTATTGAACTTTGTTGCAGTAATTAGTCAGTTGGGATTGTGTGTTTGGAAGCTATGGATATTGAATTCATTTTTGAATTTAAAATGGGGATCAATTCCTCTGATTTTAGGGTTTTAAATACTTGGGTTATCGTTTTCGTTGTGGTTCTTTTTCTTTTCTTAGCTTAAAAGTGGATTTTTTTTATTGTTTACTTGAATGAAAGTGCAGTGGCATGAAAGAGTTAGTACCTTTGAATCATTTGCTTGTAGAAATGTGATGGTCTTAGCTCAAAGGGTTATTGATTTGGAGGTGTTAATGTAACTATAAGTGTTCGTTGTGTTCCTAACTCTCTACATGTTTGTTCAAATGAAAGTAATTGGTAGCTTTCGTTTCTTTTGATTAAGTTAACCCTTGTAATTAATTGTTCTGCTGTTGCAGCAGGTACTGCTGTATGAATTTCGTCAATAGGGATTGATTAGCTACAATGCAAATTTACAAATTTCAATTTGATTGGGAGAAGGAAGTTCAGATATTGACAAATTGTGTTCTGAAATCACTTCAGTGAAGCATGGATGGTACTGAATGATCTTCCATGAATTTGAGCTTGGCAGTGGTTGTACTTACAATCTGTTCTGATTAAGTATCTTGGGCGAACGAGTTCTGTTTTACAGTCTACTCCTTTCAAATCTCTTGGTTAGTTGTTTTTTCTTTTCCATACGCTATGCCATTTGTACAGAGGCTGTATAAAACGTGCAAAGAGTCCTTCTCTCCAAATGGACCTATTTCAGAAGAATCTCTTGAAAATGTTCGCGCACTTTTAGGTGGGATGAACTGATTTTTTTCTTCTCTCCTTTGTTGTCCTTGTTGTTTCCACCTGAAGTTAGAATGTACATAATGAGTTATCTTAAGCAAAGTAATGTTTATGCTTCTTCCTGGTACTCTTGCCTCATCCGTGTCTTTATGCGTGAATATTGCTTGGTGAAGTTCGCTGTGTTATCTATTCTTTTTTTACAGGAAAAGAAGATCAGAATTAGTCCTAAGGAATGTTGTTCACTTCTGCTTTTTTTTTAATTGGTAATGAAATATACTTTTAGTCTCACCAAAAAGAAGCAGTAATATGCCTATTTGACAAATGTTGACTCATTATATTAACAATGCGGAAAAGAGTAGGCTGCCTGGGATCAATGTTGAGGAGTTGGAGCTTGAACAGTTCATACATCTTAGGCTCATCTTGGAGCCTACTCAAGATTGGATAAGTTATAGGATTGATTGTAGAAAAGTTCAGTGAGAAATTGACAGCATAAAAGAAGAGATACATTTCTTTTGGAGGGGTTTTCTTTTAGTTAAGTCCACCTTAAGAAAGACTATAATTATATTAGTAAAATTCTCTTATGATCTGAAGCTTGCAATTCCAATTCAACTCAAGTGGTTTCTTCGTGATCTTTAAAGTCTTGATGATGGTTGTTAAAGTCATGCCACATTTCTTCTGACCTTTCTTTATTGAAACCTAAGATTGTTCAGTTTATTGCTATTTTCATCAAGGTAGTTATAAAGAAATATGAAAACAACCTAATCCTCATTCAATCCCAGTCAGATGGTACTCAATTAGATTGCCAGAAAAAAGAAAAAGTATATACAGGACAAACCTAGGTTTTCACTCAATTACTAGAACTGCCAACACCAATCCATCTGTTGTTATCGTGACCAAAACTTCTATAAGAAGATCCAAATCCATGGCAAGCAATCCACCTTACCTACTCAATGGACATAATCAAACTTCAGAAATTATGGCATGATGTAGGACAATTTAGAAACTAAAGAGTTCCCCTTAGTAGGCATGAAAATATTAGGGCTCTGATCATTATTTTTTTTTTCTTGAAGAGGCAAGGAATTTTATTAAAATGATCAGAATATATACATCAGACCCTGTGTACACCAAAGAGCTGTACAAAAGGAACTATACAAAACAACTACGATTTACTAATCTGTCTTCACAACTCAATGCCAATTACGGAAAGAGAACAAAAAATCAGTATATAAAAACCTATTATAGGGTACACTCCTGGAGTATCTATGAATTGAAATGCATGAACAAAAAAACCTTTAATTCTATTAAGGACAACTTGTAGGGGATTAGCTTTTTTCTCAAAGATGCGCTGATTTCTTTCTGTTCAGATGCACTATAAGATCACTAGAGGAACAACTCCCCAAAGTACTCTGCCCATCTAAGGGGCAGTAGATGGTGGAAGGCTGAGAAATAAGGAATTTTCTGTTAAATCTTTTTATAGAGCTCTACCTCCTCAGAAGAGGAGCAAGGTCCTGTGGAAATGGATTTGGAGATTGAAGGCCCCAACTAAGGCTGTCCTTTTCTTATAGACTGCAATCTTAGATAAAGTACCAACCAAGGTGCATCTGGCAGCAAGAGAATTGCAGATGGAGAATATGTGTGTACTCATTCACTGCAACCTCCCTAATGGCATATGGATTATGGGCCAACTTTGCGAAGCTTTTTAAGAGGAAGGAGTCCTTGCTGAGGGATTTGCACAACATCATTTCCTCCTGATAAATCCAGGGTCTAAGTTTGAGAGGAAGAATACTGTGGAAGCTGGTGCCTCTGGCCATATGCTGGACCTATTGTCAAGAGAGCAATTGCAGAATCTTTGAAAATAAGAATCATTGAGGGAAAGCATTGTGGGTAAGGTTCAGAGGTCTGTTATAGAATGGTTCTTAGGGCTGTTTTTGCTTCTTTTATTTATACTCCATGTACAGTTCATGATTATAATTTTGCATGTTTTTGAGCTGCCAGGTCAATAACACTTGCATCATCGATCAGGTATAGTGCAAGAAAATATGGTTTTGTGTCTCTTCCTCCACTTCACATAGGACACAGGTAGAGTTTTCCAGCACCATGCCCCTTCTCCCTAGTTTGTTCTTGGCAGGACATTTACCAAGGGTGGAAGTCCAACCTAGGAAAGGTATCCTAGATGGAGCTGGTTTTTGCTATATTCTATTGTGAGGAAATTCATTAGAGGGCTGACTATTTAATTTCTTGAAAAAGGATCTTGCTCAAAAGGAACCAAAACTGTCCCAACTCGTAACTCTTATGTTAGTCCTTTTGTCAAAATGTTCCAATAAAGTGCCCCATATCATTTTAGAGGTGCATCTTGCTCCAAGTGGTAGGCCCAAATAACTAGAAGGCAATAACCAATTTTGCATCCAAGAGTGTCACTTAACAATTGAAGATTTGGCATGCCACCTACAATAAAGTTTCAGTTTTCAGCAGATTTACTTTCAACCCCAAGACAACTTCAAACCAAATCAAGTGCATCTTGAGATAGTTCATCTGCTCAATCGAGGCATCACAGAAGAATAACCAAATCAAGTTGTGGTTTGGCATTTCACCATTTTCATTCCCCACCTTGGAAAACTCGTCACAAGCTGGGTCCTTTCTTTTCAAGAATTTGAGCAAACAAGAAACTCAGACTTCACAGAAAACCTTTGGGATCTTCTTGAAATCCAAGCTTGTAATGCAAATCTTTTTAATTTTGACTGATGTACTGATGTGTCGCCTCGACACCTGATCTGATTGTACGTGTTTTCTTTTTAATATATTTTTTTATCCTTACTCTTCAAAAAAAAAGAAGAAAAAATAATGTTAACAGAGAGTAATTGGAGTTGAAACAGACATCTTCTTCTAATTTCTCCATTTGGGATCAAAATTCATTCTCCTTGGGATATAATCCAAGAAACTACAGTTGATATAAGATTACAGGTCCCACAGGCCTCCTTGGGAAATGGAGACAAGCACAGCCTCTACTCTCAAAGAAGAAGCATGATACAAGATGACAGGTCCCACAGGCTTTTAGAAATCAAGAGAAGAAAAGATTGTTTTTTATTAATTATAAAAAAAAAGATTGTTTTTTATTGAAAAGAAAAAATATTCTGATAACTGATTTTCTTTGAGATTGAGATCCAGGATCCCAAATTGCCCTCAGAAGCCTGAATCAGCTCATCAATCTCCCTACATTTGTTGCTGAAAACTCTCCTGTTCCATTCATCCCAAATTGCCCCTATTACAGCTGCAGGAATTGCCTTCCAAACACACATCCCTCTTCTGCTCAACCCAGACAAGGACCAAGTTGACAACAGATCCAAGACAGAGAACTATAAAAAACAGCTCTAAGACAGAGTTAGACATTACCCAGCACAGACCTGCAGCCTTTAGAAAATGGGTCAACATGCTAAAGGCAATAGGGCATTGAATATATAGATGGTTAAGGGGTTCTGCCACCTGCCTACATAAACAACATGACATATCTTTAATCTTTGTGCCTCTTCTCACCAGCTGCTCCTTGGTGAGTCACTTGCCAAGAGATGCAGCCCACACTACAAAACCAACCTTCAAAGGAACATTTGTCTTCTGTATTACCTTGTAAGGGAAGAAAGCATTGCTGGGGCTTCTCAAGTTCTCCACATAAGACTTAGCAGAGAATTCACTATCTCTACTCCATTTCCAGCTCCATTGGTCTTCCTGCCTACTCCTAAGGGTTTGATTCCTTAGCAGCTGTAGTGGGTTGATAACATTTTCCATCTCCCAATCTTGGAAATTTCTACTGGATTAAAGAACACAGATGGGATTCCTCCCTCAGTCATACATCAACCAGTGACAACAACTTTGTTTTGAATAAGGTGAAACAAAGAATTATCAGCACACCATGGGCCTTTCAAGAAACTCAAGTTCTGACCATTCCCTGGCCTGAAGATAACACCCTTAGAGAAAGTATTATAAGCTTTCATGATGCCTTTCCATGGACAGCACCCAAAGGATGGAAATAGATCGTTTGTAACCTAATTGTCTCTTCTCACACCAAATTTTGCAGCAACCAAACCGCTCCAACTCCCATCTCTTTCCACCCTGAGTCTCCAAATCCACTTACCCAGAAGGGTGAAATTGAAGTCATTGATTCTTTTGAACCCAAGACCTCCCTCTTTATAAGGATTACAGATTTGGTTCTAGCTGACAAGGTGGATTTTCTTCTCTTCTTGCCAACCTTCCCAAAGAATGTCTCTTTGAAGCTTTTCAATCCTCATTGGCACCTTCATTGGAATTGGGAAAAGGAAATAGGTTGGGAGGTTAGATGGTGTGCTTTTTATCAAGGTTACTCTCTCACCATTCAACAGGTATTAAGCCTTCCAAGATGGCCAACTTCCTCTCAATCCTCTCCAACACTGCATTCCAAATTGCAACAAAGTTGCAATTGGCACCCAAGGGTAACCCCAAATACTTGCAAGGGAAGTGATCAACATCAAGTCTTCTCCAATTCACAATATCGTATGCTTTCTCGAGATCAATCTCGCAAAGAATGCCAGGCCTTCTAGTTTTTTCAAATGCTCTTCTTTCTACAACATTTTGCTTCAGACCTCTAACTTTGCAGGGAACTTTTCTTCAAAGGAGGAAGAGGTGTGGGGTAGCCCGTAGCCCTATACCTAAAAAAATTCAGGACTTTTGTTGGGAAGTGGCACTCCAAAAAATCAATACCTTAGATTTATTGCAAAAAAAGAGGCTAAATATGTGCGTCTCCCCCCATGTTTGTTGTCTCTGCTTGGGTCCTAGTGAGACAATCTCACACTTACTAATCTCGTGTCCCTTTGTGTTCTTTATTTGGTCTTGGTCCTCTTCTCTCTTTGGCTGTAGGTGGACTCCCCCCCGTGAGTGTGGTGAACCTCTTTGATCCATCTTTTTGTAGGCAACCAAAGGTCCGTGGAAGGGTTATGTGGAGAGCCACTAGAGCTGCTGTATTGTGGTCAGTGTGGGAGGAAA